CATTACATTACATTACATTACATTACATTACATTACATTACATTTACATTACATTACATTACATTACATTACATTACATTACATTACATTACATTACATTACATTACATTACATTACATTACATTACATTACATTACATTACATTACATTACATTACATTACATTACATTACATTACATTACATTACATACATACATACATACATACATACATACATACATACATACATACATACATTACATACATACATACATACATACATACATACATACATACATACATACATACATACATACATACATACATACATACATACATACATTCATACATTCATACATACATACATACATACATACATACATACATACATACATACATACATACATACATACATACATACATACATACATACATACATACATACATTACATTACATTACATACATACATTACATACATACATACATACATACATACATACATACATACATACATACATACATACATACATACATACATACATACATACATACATACATACATACATACATACATACATACATACATACATACATACATACATTACATACATACATACATACATACATACATACATACATACATACATACATACATACATACATACATACATACATACGTTACATGCATGCATACATACATTCATACATCAATGCATACATACATTGCATACATTTCATTACATTACATTACATTACATTACATTACATTACATTACATAACAACGGGGGAAAATCAAGAACAAAACAGCATTCAAGAAGTACCCCTTCCCATCCAAGCACCGTCCAACACGCGAAGCTCGGATAGTCTGCCCACCAGACCCCGGCAGTTCAGGCGTCCTCCATGTCAGTGTCCTGTGAGCGCAACATACATCGGCCAGGTGTAAAGTGGATGGATTACCTTTGAATTCCTCTCAAGAACGACAACAAACAAGCTAAACGCCAGCTCATTGTGGGGCTTTTGTCCAGCCCTTTGCACCAGACCTTTTGCAGGCTTCCGCAGGCCACCCCCCCCCCCTCGGTTTGCAGTCAGACTCCTCATCCCTGTCATCAGCGTCGTCGCCTCAGCCATGCGTTCTGGAGCCTGACCCTATATGGACGCCCGAGCTTTCTAAACCCCCAAAGCACCGATCATTTTCGGGTGCAGGTACTAAGTATTCTCTCTCTCTCTCTCTCTCAGTGGGCAAAGCATGCAGCAGTCAATAAACCCCCGAAATGGATGACAAATCCGAAAAACTGACCAAGCACCTCAGCGGTGTGCCAGCACTCGGCTGTCGGCGCTTCAAAACAGGGAAAGCTGAAAAGCACGACTGGATGGCCCAAGTGCCGGGCAGGGAACTTCGCCCTGGGCCAAGCGCCTCAACAGCGCCTGCTTTACTGGCAGCACGTAGACTGTGGTGCCATCCTGACCCTGCCTGTCAAAAGGCTTTGCGCGAGAGGAGGTTTCATCGGGAAAATCGGCGGGTTGACCCTGGATCCCTACAGGAACCGGCTTGAGGGTAGAAACCCTCTGGAAACTCTGTCTCCCTGGCCAATGGCAAACAATAGAAACACCACGCCTTTGCACCACAATGTCGTGATCCGTCAGCTCATTTAAGAGACGCCTGCCCATGCGAGTGCCTTGAAATCAATCAGACCTCGAACCTCATTGCTTCAGCTTGCGAGGACCGAATGAAACTGGCTCGTCAACTGCAGGGAAGCATGGAGCCTGGGACCAGAATTAGGACCGAATGTCAAAACAAAATTATCCTATTTGAGGCGGAAGCGCCCAAGGTCGCTTGTTACTCGCCTGATCTTCGTAAGGTTGGAGGCGATCATTCGATCCTCCGCCACAGCCTCAGCGGCTTCCCATTTACCCTCAGCATGCTTGCTCTGCTTGGCTCCTCTATTTAATTGCAAGCTGCACCCCATGCTGCTGGTTCTGCTTGCCACATGATGTCCTGCATTTGTCTGGTATGTCCACGTATTTGCAGCATTTGCAGCCGATTGAATTTCCAACCCTGACGCCCAGACCGTCCAACAGCTAGACAGCTTCCGATGGCTTAGCAACCAAAGGTTGTGGAAAAAACACCCATGCCCAACAAGGCATTGGCCAAAGGGTCGTCATATCCGGCGGGGGTCTGGGGTCTCTCAACTCTATTCACCTCACCCTACCATGCAAGTTTCTTTAGTGTCTGTGTGGTTGCTGAAGAGCAAAATACAACATGAACTGTGTTACCATGGCCTCACAAGTGAGTCTTCCCGGCTCAAAGATGTCGACAAAAGTGCCACAGAAAATCCAGGACGCACCCGGAGAACCCTCTTACCGAGACTCCGCGACATGCGGCAAATGGAGCAGGCCAGGTCGATCAAGAGTTCAACAAGCTCCTCTAAGGAGCTTCTTTGAATTGCCAGGATGGGCTCTTGAAAACTAACACCAGCTGAGGCGCACGCTAAGAGATCTGGCATCGAAATGCCTTCCTTCCTGCCTGCGCGGGAAGGAGGAAATTCAGCCACAGCTCTTGGCCCTCGTCGGCTGGGGGCCCAGTTCGGATAAAGACTAAGCACCGGGAGCTAGCGAAGCCCCTGACGCATTCCATTTGGGCGAGGTAAAAGGTCCTGCAGGGACTGTTCATTGGTGACTTGTCGTGTTTGCTCCACGCTTCCGAAGCATGCTGCTAGAGAATGCCTCAAACACAGTTGAATGTTTTCTCCGCTTGCTACCAAGCAGTGCCCTGATCAATCTTCAAACGTTTGATTTGGGTGTGTCCTTTTGAGAGATAACCACTCTTGTGGGTTTTCTCCAAGGGACGACGCCTTCCAGCTGGTTCTTCGCCATGACCTTGCGCCGGTGCTCGCCATTCGCCACTGCATGGACACGTAAGCAGTCATTGGTGCGTGGTCAACAAGCCCGGTTCCCTTACGTTCCAATCATGGCAGAGACATCCCCAATTCACATAAGACATAAGGACGTAATCAGGGGCAAACAGCCACCCCCCCTCCCCATAGCCCCCTTAAAGGCCCATTTTGGGTTCCCCACATTTCTGAGAACAAAACCCAAGCGGCAACCCAAATCCATCATCCCGCCTCCACCAGCTCCCGGTGGTTGTTGGTGAGGCTCTTCAGCACCAAGCCGATGCTCACCTCCACGGAGCGCCGTCAACGTCTTCCACATTAGATATGAGCGTGCACTTGCGAATAAATGTGTGTATAGCTATATGCATGCGTATCTGAATCGTCATGTTTGAGGTTATATTGATATGTGTAATTGTGTGTTATTATTACTATTAGTATTATTATTACTATTGTTATTATTATTACTACTTCTATTATTATTATTATTAATTGTTATTATCATTATTATTGTTATTAGTAGTAATTAATTATACTTATTGTTACTATTGTTATTATTATTATTATTACTATTTCATTATTAGTGTTAAACATAATTATTATTATCGATACTATTATTGTTACTAATACTATTATTATTTACCGAGATATATATATATAAATACAAATATATATATATATATATACACCATTGTGTGTATACACGTATGCATATGGATGTTATGTGTATGCAAATGTATATATAGAGTGGGATGTTCCGTACACAAGCAAATCAAGAAAAATATACCGCCAGTCATACTGCGGCAATCTGCCATCTATCCCCGTTGAAGGGGCTCTGAAATCCCAAAGACGTGTCTACAAAAGGTGTGCCTTGGATGCCACCTCCACAGTGAAGGGGTCACACCAACTCGGCCTCAGATCAAAATGTAGCCGTGCGCAGCACGACACATCCCTGGCTCCTTGCTGCTCTTCTATCGCTGTTCTATAGATTGGCGTTCTGTAGCAGTGTCCTGTGTTGCTCTTGCTGTTGTTCAGCTTCTGTGGGTCAGGGCTTCATCCCAGTGGCAAAAAACATCAGCCAAAAGGATGTTTTGAGCACCCTTGCTGAAATAGTTTCCAGGGAAACCAAAAGGAAACAGCCATGTTGGAGATCCCCCCTTTCTGGAGAAAAGATAAACAAAGGCATGCTGCTTGGCCATCATCTCAGTGGAATGTTCTCTGTGCAATGCTTCTGCAAGGACATTGCCGCAGTTGCATCGTTGAAGTTGCATTGCATGTATCGGTGTGTGTGTGTGTGTGTTGCTGCTTTGTGTTGCTGTTCTGTGGCCTTAATATAGTAAATCATGAAATAGGTTGGTGCAATTCCTAGCAGTAGCAGCTAAGCAGCACATCAAGGCCAGTGTCATAAAAAGAACCGAAATAACCCTCGCATGGATGGACCTTTCTTGAAAGCAGGTCAACATGAAACCATGGTCCCCAACAGCAACACATGCTTGCTCGGTCTGCCATCACTCTGAATCAACCCAATTGATGGAGCAATGAAATTGGCACGAGAGACCCAACTTACACGCTCAGTTCATCCAGCAGCAAGGCTCAGCCACATGTCATATGACTTCCTGTTGCCCAACTGCACTATCATGTGAAAATCTGTGGGAGGCCTGAGCCCACGTCCCTCCCAACCCAAAGGCTGGACTGTTTGACCCAACTTCACATCCGGGCGCCGCCACATGTCAGGAAACTTGCCCCGTAGCTCGAGATCATAGCCTCGCCATGGAGGGGCAGGGAAGGGCGGGTAAGGAACAATGTGTCCAAAGCACAAGGAAATGTCCTGCAATATGAGTGTTGCTTTTTAAGCGACCCAAACAAATTGTGGTGTTCCCTTTTGGCTTCCCTTGTAAACCACCAAGAAGCGGTACCCTCAAGAAAAACCAGCATATGAGGAGCTTGCGGCTGCGAGCGCGCTCCGGTTCTGTTGAGCCATCAAAGCCCTCATGAAGGGCTCATGGGTGATCCAAAGCTTTCAATTCGTTTTCCAGCCCAGATGCTTTCGCCAGTGTGGACCTCCTCCCTGCAGAAGTTGAAATCCTCGGAATGCTGGAGTCCCACCTCTGCATGGCCTAGACAAACGACAAACAGAATGAAAGTTCAGAAAGAACCCAAACAGCAGCAACCTTCCATGTATAGCTGGCAAGCCAAAAGGGCGCGGATCAGCTTTCGCTTCCCCCCTGTCCTTCAGCATGTCATTGCTCCAAAGCAGCGGTGCCCAAAGATGGTCAACCTGAGACCCCCCGCGACCGCCTCTCTCAGCCGCACTCTTGGCCAGACTTCCGGGACCGTCGCAGCAAAAAATAATTGGAAACGCAAGGTGAGTTGAGTCTAGTGAACCTTACCTGTCGGCTGTTGGCAGAACGACGATGCCTCGCGTTGCTTGTGGGTCCAAAAAGTCACCTCCGGAGTCTTGCCATCAGCACACTGGTTCAATGAGGCCTCGAGCAACTCAGCTCGGTGGGCAAGCCTTCGAACACAAATCTGCCGATCCTGGCACGGCACGTGTTTCTCGCGCTGCCACCTGCCAACTTTCTCCGGTCCCCTTTGGCTGCCCTTCAAACCTATGGTACCCGAGGACCTGACTCTCGGTTTTCCTTTAAAAACCCCCCCAAAAAAAAAGAAGAAAAAAAACGGAGCAGGTGCGTTGCGCAAGGGCTCCCAACTCCCGGACTCCCGGACTCTCGGGCCCCGGGCGGAGGCCACGAGCCGCACGTTGGGATCCCTGGCCAACGCGCTTAAAGCCGCCTGGTGCGCCGGCGCCAGCTCCTGCCGAAAGGACGAGGCCCGGTACCCCGAAGTGTTGAGGGAAACCAAAAAAAACTGCGAAGGTACCCATTTTCAGAAGGGGTGCTGGGATGTTAGCGCAACGAATACCATGGTTTCGTGAAGATTGCCCAAATTGATTGCCCAAATTTGCCACAGTGGCAGAAAACACAAAACTCCTGACGTTCAGGTGGGATTCCGGGGGAACCCTCTGATGATGTTGTGTGAAAATATCCACTAATGGGTCCATGACCATCCCGAAGCCCAAGTAAAAGGCTTTTTTGACCACACACTCAGGGTCTAAAATAACATTGTATGAATCATAACGTGGGGGATATTGGTAAACATGAAACTGGAGGCCAGAAGGGGCGGACCATACTAGACAAAGATCAAAAGTGCAAGGGATCAAGAAAGACCTAGTCCAAAAAGAAACTTGGAGCTCACATTTGATGGGAATCGACGCGCAAGGTACCAAGGCTCCTCCACGTTGTGCACGACGAGCACCAAGGGCGCCTGCAGAACCTCCAAAACACCAGGGAGCCAGGGCTACTAATTCAGCCTGCCGTTCTCGTAATGTGAGAATGAGTGTCTGGTGCTTTTGGGAAAGGTGAGTTGCCCCATACCATAGACTCACATTGTAACGGAACAGGTGGTGAATTGCACATCTAGAACATGTGTGCAAATCTCCAGCCAAGATCCTCTGAGGTCTCATTGATTCTTATTGAATCCACAGATCTAGAAGGGCATCAAGCAGCCTCCGAGCCGCGGGGGGGATTGTACGGACTTCGCGAGAACTTAGGTGTCCAACAATCACGCAAGCTGACGATCGCAAGTTGTGTCCACTTCCATTGCAAGAATGATCTCGCAATACAAGGGCATTCCCCGCAGGCGGGCTTCAGTCAGAGCAACTTCCGGGCTTCCTGCTGCAAGCACGGCGGCGACGAGGCCGTCCAAGGAGGCTGCCCCTGGTAGCTTGGGCCCCAAAGCTACCGCAAAGACTCTTAGAGGGAGGCACTCTGCGCACGGGAAGTGAAGAAAAATATGACACGAAAGCAAAGGGTGGCAAAGGTCCAGGCGTCCCAAGAATTTCCCCTTGACAAAAAGATGATAGGCAAAGGCACAGGGACGGATGTTCGCTCCATGGAACCCTCCGCGGGATGGTCTGGCAGCCTTCCCGCAGATCGTCTCGCCGAGTGCAGATGCACTCACGTGCGCGGTCTTGTTTTGCAACACACAAAAGGAATCCTTGTTCACTGTTGCATCAAACATCAATCCAAGTCTTCAATGGTCGGCGTTCAAGTACAAGTTTCGGTGCTACTGACGGCGAAATGGGAAGAGGGGAGAAGTCCTGGGAACATGCATAAGCAGCTACCGCTTCGACAAGACCAAAAGTAGTGCTCTTTCAAGCACAAGTTTGTGCTGTGCACGTGACACCGTGGTGTCGACGTCGTTCTACTGGCATCGGTGTAAGTTGAACCTCAACTGTTTGGATATTTGGTGATATGTTGGGCTTTAAAATCTGGTTTGGATTTGGACACTGGAGTGCTACGGTATCTTCAAATCCGAATGACTAGGGGCTGCATTCTTGTCGATGACTTCCTCATCTGCATAATTGTTTGAGCTGCTTATTTGGGTCTCTGGCAGTTTTCAAAATACCAAAAGTTGTGTAGAGACAACAGATTTCCTGTAGTGACTTTAGTGACTACCACAACTGGAAAATGGCGCGACGCGATACATGTATACAGGTAAATCAAGCCGGATCTGTTCCGTCTGCTCATGAGACGTCGAAAAGGTCTTCAGAAACTCAACAAAATAAGTAGCAAGCCTGTTTCTTCCGCCAGTGGGTGTGGATATGTCTTGGGAAGTGTTCAGGCGGCAGGATCACTACAAAGGGAAAATGGAGATGTCTAACCCTGACAAATTGGTTACATGGTGGTTCTATGAGTTATATATATATATATATATACTCGCCAGTTCCCCCTTGAGGGAGGTCACGGGGCTGGGTCCCTGAAAAACCCCCGAGCCGCGCCTCGGTGCTGGTTCTGGTACGCCAGCAGCTGGCGCAGGAAGGCGGGCAGCGTGGCGTGGGCGTCGAAGGCGTCCAGGCAGGCCACGTCCCAAGCCGGGCGCAGGGACTGCCGAGGCATGCGAGGAACCGGAACCCCAAAACTGAGGCACTGGTCTCCTGGGATTTTCCTTGAAACCCCAAAACAAAGGCCAAACCAAAGGCCATGGGGTTAATGGAAGCCAATTAGACACCAAGCCCATTTTGAGGTCCCCTACTTTTTAACACAGGCCCCCGTTGTGCTTCTCCACTGATTCCTTGCGAACCCCGGACAAAAAACAAGGTGTTTCGAATCTTGGAGCCCGAAAACAGGACCTTGGGGGCTTTGGGACTTGGGACTCTGCAGCAAACATTCGCCCAGTGAAAAGGAAGACAAAAGTAGCTCTGGAGTCTCCAATGACCCTTTAAAATGTCTTGACTCCAGGTATGCATTTGTTCGTCCCTTCTGGGTTGGCCAAAACCATGGAAGGCAGCTCAAAATGAGTCTCCAAACCACGGCTACCATGGCAAGCACGCAGTTCATAGTCAAAACCCTGGAGACAGAAGAGAAGACGTTCTTGAGCCGAGGATGCGGGGGTTGCAAGCACATGCCCTCCTCACCCAAGCTCCTCTTCCGCATGTTGGAATTGATCAGAACAAGCTCCGGTTGTGTCAACCACAAAACATGTTGATTCCATCCAATGCTCACACCATCACTGACGGTCACGTCAAAATGGGAAGCCGCCCAGTGTCACCTGATTGGATCTCCTGCAAGCCACAAAACGACCATCACACATCGAATCTGGTCTCTTACAGTTTTGGCGCAGGGCGCCGTTGACCAAAGTGGGGAACTCTGACAAGGCCCTTGTAAAAGGAACAAACCGTACCACGTGCAAATCTCGCTTCCGAGACGCAGTTGACCAAACCGCAGTTGATCAAACCGCGGTTTGACCTGTCTTTTGTCGGGGTGCGTCCTGTGACATAAACCAACCATTTGGGTTTCAAAATCGGGATGCCTTCCAAAATGATTTGCTTGCTTGATGGCATCCCTTTCAACCAACCCACAATAGGTAATTGCCACCCATTCGGAATGGCGTCGGCTCGCCCAAGCCACTTCGACGCCGCGCCAGCGACGCGCCTCTGCAAAGGCTTCCAGCAGCTGCCACTTTGAGCCCACGCCCTCATGGGGAAAGGGCCCCAAAAAGCCAAGCCACACTCAACTTCAGCCCAAGCCCAGCATGTGGCCACATGCCATTCAAGTCCGAGCTGCATAGGCGCTGCAATCAGCCACCGGATCTGTCTGTGAAACTGCGTGCCTTCCCGAGCCTCAAAAAGCAGGGAGAAGCCCATCTTGAGTCGTCGCAGCCACTGGTCCTGACAGCCAATCGGCCACATGAGATGCAAATCGGCTGCAAGAAGACAAGTGCGGAGCAAAGGTTGAAGTAAGGCAGCACACACCCGCCTTGCGACACAACTCTGCGGGGATCAAGTATTCAAAGCAAGGTCCTTGATATACAATAATGAGAAATCATTATCTGATGTGCGAAGCATTCGCCCGGCACGGGTGCGAGAAATCACCTTTGGCCGAAGCTGAACGTGGCAACTAACACTAGCTGTATGCTGCCACCGCAACAATCCAAAGATCCCGCCCCCGATGTTGCTACACGGCCTCAAAGCCTTTGGGGCCCAAAAGGATAAGAGGAAGGCCATCCTGATCCGCCAGCACTTCGAACACGAAACCCCCGAAAGAACGGACGCGCTCCTCGCTGAACGTGGCAAGGGCTGCAACATGAATCTGCTTGCAAGCAAAACCAAGGGTTCCGCCTTGGTTGGCCGCATGTTGTTGGCTCTGTTTGGCTGGTGACCAGTCCATTTCGCTTTACCAACCCATCGGAATCGTGCTGCCCCGCCCAACCCCGGACACCCACGCACCTTTGAGGCAGCCACTATCTCGGTCACACCTCAGGACGGCAAAACGAGCATGCTGAGAGCGGCGCTCTGGATCGGCTTGAAGGGCGCTCAACTAGCTCCATTCTGTCTTCCAACAAAGTAGCTATGCACCGGGACCATGTAAGAGTGTCCCCGTGTGGCTCGCTCCTATCAGAAAGTGTTGCAGAGTGGATCAAAGCATAGCGTCCTTCCTTCTTCTGCGGCCAACTCTTGACTTACCACTCAAACGGGCACAAACATGGCAACTATCGAAGGGCAACGAGTGGATTCAGCACCTGCCAAATTGCTGAATGGCAATGGATGCATGTCCCAAACTCTGCTCGGTACCTTCGATGCTGGCCATATGTATTCCACAAGAACGTCAAATGCAGGGCTAGGGCTGCATGTGCAGGCGCTGGCACAATGCGGAACAATGCGTGAAGCGCGCACCCCTTCAGATGCACTATGCGCCGAGTTTTGGCCACCAAGGATGTTAGGTTGCACGAACCTTTTGCACCGAGCAAGGGATGGTATCTCTGGACCAAGATCCATGGCACTTCAGTGCTGTAGATTTCTAGAAGTTTTTTGGCTCGTGAACATACCCCCATTGCAGCTAGTGCAACGAGCTGAAACTGTGCAAAAGGAATTCCCACGAGCCCAACTGCCCAATACAAACCTCATTGATGGGCATCCCGCAGTTTGCCTCGGAACTGAGGTCACCCTGACTGCTCCATCCTTTTGGGACCACCGGACATGGTCTTCAAAGCTAAGAGATAGTCATAGATAGTCACTGGTCACAAAGGCCCTTCACCCGTAACGAAAATGGAAAAGCTGAGCGCTACGAACTGAACGGGCGTGTTCTCACTGGACTCACTGGGCTGGGAGTACCTCGGTACCTCGGTCCCCGTAGGCGCCGAGCTCTTCTTCGGCTGCTCTCGCGCCTGAAGGCTCGCCGGCAAATGGATTTACATCCCGCCAAAACGAAGCTCATAGTTGGGCAACGGAAAAATATAGGCAAGGAACCTGCTGATTCCCTTAGACTAAGAGGCCTTCCCAATCGCAACAAACTGGTTTAAGTGTTTGCAACTATGCCTTTCGAACAGTGGAGAACGAAGGGCTTGATGACAGGGAATGCTTGCGGCACAAGAAGGGATCCTTCGCCTGCAAGGTCGCTATACTTTGCTCCGGCGAGTTGGCACATTCCGTGGTTCAACCACAAGGGCAAGCCAAGCAGTCACACGTCCTTGAATTTCTCATGTGACAGGGGCCAGTGCCCCGCTCTGCCCAGGTGCCGTCCATCCGCTCAATTCAGGTCTGATGCCTCTACCGTAACCAAAACCCATTTGGGAGGACGCCAAACGCTGGCCCCCTCACGACACTACTACACTAATCCAAAGTCATGCCTCCCATGGAGGACTCGCTCTAGAATCCAAAAGCAGCGACCAAATAAGCTTCAACTGCCTCTGCCGGCAAGGTTTAGTTGGCCGTGTTCGAACTTGTGAAATGCATCTGGCAGGATCAGCCGACGTGCAAGCCCGGCCCCGCCCCCTGCACCAAAAACAATTACTCCAAATTGCCAGCAGCTGCAAGCTGGAACGCAGGAAAATCAGCGTTGTTTTCTCTCTTAACAGCGGATCTATCTGAACCGGAGGGCGTGATCTATCTGAACCGGATAATTTTACCATGTTATTTTGTCCCTCCCATGGCCCTGGACAAACTTCTCAGGACGGCCAACCCAAATTCGCCCGGAGCCTGATGCAGAGCCATCCCAAATCATGCACGCTACTTTAACCAAACTTTCTAGAACTCAGACGTCCCCAACCCACTGCGCTTAACCCCACCTTGACGCTGGAAAGCAGCTCTGAGATGCGCTCCAGGTCTGGAATCCTCTGGCAATTCGACCCCTGGCTGTGACATGTTTAAACCATGCAGGGTTGGTTCCCTTTCGTGCTTGGTTTCCCTTCAAAGCAGACCGGCGGCTGGATGTTTAAACATACTTGTGCCCAACCCTGGTCAGCCGGCTCGGGCGCCGCACAGCTTTTGCTTTTTGAGCATCCACTCGTGGGACGCGTGGGCCCATTCTAAGGAGACCCAGTTGGTGGGATTACTTTCCAGTTTCGGGGCAGCCCAGCAAATACGTCTTTCGCGAGTCAGTTCCCACCACCTCGCTGGCTCAACTCTACCGGTTTAGGGTCCGACGGTCCCACTGTTCTAGCACCCCGTCCGTTCACGATCCCAACCAGATCAGAAATGTGCATAGTGACTGGGCTGAGAGGGGGTTGGTGCAAAAAAACGCTGGCCCCGTCTAGACAGCAGGCCGTGCCACCAGAACGGATGAACCACACCCTATGGCTTCGCCACCACAAGAGATGCGAGCCTTCAGCTTTCAACACCCGGTGATTAGACACACTATCAAACGGCGGCAAAGGATGTGTGCCCTTCCAAACACCTGGCGCTGGCAGAAAACTGGCATGCCCCCAAATGAGACCTAGTCTTCAGAACTCAACTGCCCTGTGGCGAGGGAAGTGCCCTGCAGGAAGGCTGCTCAAACATACCCATCTTGCGCCTCGCGGTGCCAGGAGAGACCCAGAAGTCCTGCCACTTGCAGATGAAACCCTGGTTTGTGCAAAGCTCCAAGGCTCCTAGAGTCCCATCCTCTGATTTAAAGCAACTCTTCCAGAGCCTGGGTAGCCATGTTGCCCTGCGCTCACAATCCCTTGACGAATCTTGCCCAAAGGGTGCCTCATCCAATATTTGCAGTGTCAACAAAAATGGCTTGGTAAATGCATGCCGCGAAACCAGCCATGGAGTTCGCAGAATCCATGCCATAGCAATTCTAAACGCGCCGAGAAAAGCCCTTCTCTACCTATAGCAATCGCGCGGCGTTTGTGTTGCAAAGAAAATCTTAGATAGAGTGGATGCACACCGATGCGAGCATGGATCATGAACCACTGGGCTAGTGGCATCTGGTCAGGACATCGCCAGCGCCAAGGCTCAAAAAGTGTCAAATCTCAACAAGCAAGGTTCATTTGCCCTTCTCATGAATGCTCTCGCTTGCTCGAATCAAGAGACCTGCACGACCGAGCATGAACGCAGCGAACAAGTGGCAATGGGACACTCCTGGCCTCACAGAGCCCAACTCCCGCTGCCCCTTGCGGCCCTTTTAATGTCCGGCACAAAAGGCCATGGCCTCGCTTCAGACGACGCGGACGCCGGCGTTTATGGCAGGCGCTCTGCCCGTTGCACCAGGCGCTGCAGCACCGGATGCGTCCCCTTCTCCGGCAGATTGGCCGCTAGGTCCTCTGCCAGCGCCCGCGCCCCAGCTCCGTCCTCCGCCAGCACGTGCGCCTAGGGGACGACACATGCACCCATCACGTGGTTGAGTGCTTATTTAAATTAAAAAAAAAAAAAAAAAAAAAAAAAAAAACCTAGCGCCCTCTTGTTGACCTGCTAGGCCACAGCCCCGCCTCCAGCAACTTGCAGTAGGCAAGGGCATCCGGCTGGCAGCCCGCCGCTTGCATGTCCTCGAAAACCTGGCGAAAGCCCTCCCCCCCCCCCCTTGATTTGCACATGTCCTTCTGGAGCCGCTCGTTTCTTCCCAGTTTGGACAGATCAACGGAGCCAATCCAACGGCAACGCAAGTCACCTTGCCCAAAGGCTATGGGCTGTCAGTAATGGGCCTTTCTGGTCGCAGCGAGGTCGTTGCGATAGCAGGCCAGCAGCGCAGTCCAGTCCGCCAGCGTGGGGCACTCCCCGTACTGTGGCATCAGGTCAAACACGCCTCGGATACGTTCGGATAGTGATTTTCTTCATTGGACTCGGCTGAAAATGGCAGAGGTGTCTTTTTGGCTTCGTACCGAAGTGGGGGTCCGCCATAGACTTGGAGCGCCCTGGCCGGGAAAAAAATTGAGAATGCAGGCATGACCCCGTCGAACATTTACTGCTTAAATATCCGTGGTAACGGTGTTTTTTCTTTCAGTTGCCCAACGAACCAACCAACCAACCAACCAACCAACCAACCAACCAACCAACCAACCAACCAACCAACCAACCAACCAGCCCTAGCAAAAACCAGCCCTAGGAAAAAAAAAAAAAATAAAAATAAAAGAAGAAAAACAACGGATCCAATATCCGTTGCCCAAGAAAAATGCTTGTAAAAGGGGTGTTCGATCACCACGGTGCATAATCAGCACACGCGGATAAGCACCCTTCAAATACGAAGACTTCGGCCCGCACACAAGGAACCCGATGCCCAAAAACGCCTTGTCCCCCCCAAAAAAAACAAATGGAGGGGAAAATTGGTTCCATACTTCTGGGCACGTCCCATGTTCCCACATGCAAACGACGGTACACAACATTTGCCGGGTATCCCTGCGCAGTCTCGGCTAAGGCGTCTCTTGCGCAAGCGCTGATCAAAGCGTTGAAGTGTTTCCTATTGGGCCGAACGTCCTAGGCGCGGAGGTGCCAATTGAACCCCGGCTCATTTGCGTGGATGTGAACCCTCGACATTAAGATGATGTGGACCCAGGGCTGAAAGACATGTGCTGACTCTGCCATGACCTGACGGTCCTTCGCCAGCATGTCAACGAACACCTCGCGTGCACCAGCATACTCTCCCAACTTCGCATGCCCGGTCATCAACGTCAAGAAGCAGCGCTCCTCCAAAGGCCAGGGCAAAAACAAAGAATGCAAGGGTGATGATTCATTGGGGAATGCTGGCCATGCAAGCTCTGGTTGCTCCTTTGGATAGTTTGTTGTTCGACAAGGGGGCAGAACAAAGGCACCAGCCCTCCCAGCTAGAATTGTGTGGCTTGGTGGGTACACATGCCAGGAACCTCATTGTGCAAGCGCTCGCGCAGCGCTCGCTCACTCGTCCTTGTCTCTGAGTTCGGCTTCTTCAAAGGCCTGCTTCGGGACGCGCTGGAAAAGGTCCTCCAGAGCCAGAACACGTCCATCAAGTATGGGGATGCTCGTGGCTCCCTCAAAACAAAAGCGAAAATTGTTGTCCACAAGGTCTCAACTGAATGCCCCTCCGCGTTCCAGTATTTCCAAATGTGTGTATATATACATATATACATATACTCAGCCAAGGTCAGCCGCGCTTCACAGAGACAAGGAACTAATGGCCCAAAACCGTTCTGGCTGCCTCATAAGGTACAACATCTTCTGCTCCCTCAGTCCTTGGCCTTGTCAATGTTGCCACTCTGCCCGTATGCATTCATGATGCTGGTGTATGCCTGGCCATCGCTTGCTTATCATCCCGGCTGAAATGTTCAGGGCAGGGGGGCATCCTCCCTCCCTATAACAAGGTCACGGTTCTCTTGGCAAGCCATAGCATCCTCCGCAGATTCGTCACCATCATTTGTAATGAACTGTGCACCAACGTTGTAGCGCGAAAAGCGTGGTGCCAAAGTGAAGCGCTTCTCAGAATCCCAATTGTATGCCATGCTCTCAGTCACATTTCTCGGGCGTTCAAGCAGAGGCTCAGAGTTTACTATCGGCTAGGGCTGACACAACAAAAGAACCAACTACTAAGAAAGAACTCGGAGCGAACGCAAAGAATGGCCGCCAATGGCCAACGTGTGATTTGTCCCTTTGGTTTCCCCTTTCAAAGCACCCCAATATGGCTACCCTCAAAACATATCCAGACTGTCACGATATGCGGCTCTCGCAATGGACCTGAAAAGATTTGTGTGAATTGAATATGCTCTCCATGTGTCGAATCCTAAATAGACATCAGGAGATTCGCTCCCAGCGAAGCCTTTGCATGTCTTTTACTTGGTGCCAAGTTGGAACAAGAGGGCCCCCCAGCCGAGAGGATACACCAATTCCTTCCAGGAAGCCGGGAGGTCCAGCTCCACATTCCTGGACTCCATCTCCTCGTAGAGCTCCTCGGCCTCGCGAAGCCGCCGGCTGTAGCCCAATATGTTGATCATGATGCAGTATGGGATCACGTCCTCGGTGCCGACAAGGCGGATGTCATCGCATAGGAACCCAAGATTCGCAAACTGCTGGTTTCTGTGGGTGTCCCCTTTAAGAGGAACCCTTCACTTGGGAAACACACCCATTCAGCTTGCTTTGATCAGCGTTGGATAGGCTTCCAAAAACACACCTGGTGTGCCACCACCACGCAACGGGCCAGCTGGGCTAGAATTGAGCTGCTTAGAACGCCTCAAGAGGCCCTCGCAACCGCCTCGCTGTCGCCGAACGGCGCGGACCCTTTGGAGCAAACCCGTCCAACGGACGCCAAATCCTCATTCAACGCTTGCGGAACTCCCGAAGTCAAAAAGTCAAGCTGTGAAAAACGACTTGTCGGATGCAATTCCCAGCCCTCCCGTCCAAGCCACTCGCTCCTCCACAGGAAACTTCTCCCAAATCTCCTTGGCCTCCTCGAGCCAGTTGGCCTTCTGGCAAATGGTAAGGGCCATGGTATGGACCAACGGGTTCGGCTCCTGAGCGCAAGTTCGGGGAAGTCAGGCAATCCTATGCCAGGCGTATTGATAGGTGATGCAGCCCAAAATCTCAAAGGGTGACTTCCAAACCTCCTCCCAAACCGATCTGCTCCATCCCCATCTCTCCAACTTGGTCTTTCCTTTGGTGTCGTTTCAAATTCCAGCCCCCCATACGCTACGATGCTTTTCACTCTTGCTTCGGGTCCAAAAGCACCTCAAATAGCACCCCCAACTGCATGCCCGCCACCCTGCCATTTCTCGCAAATCACCTTCCCCTCTTTAGAAGTTAGAACCCCTATAGATAGCCTATAGCTATCTGGGGATTCTTTTTTGGCCTCGACTAAAAATGGTCGGAAACAAACATCCCCCCGCCCACCCCCCTTTTTCCCCTCCCCCTCACCTGGATGGTGGGATAGATATCCAGGGCCTCCCGCAACCGCCCCTCCCGCTGCAACCGCTGCATCTCCGCGCAGCTTTGCTTGGTGTCCTCCGAGGCCTCGAAGCTCCTGTTCTTGCTGCGCCTCGGACTCGGACTCTGTGGGAGCTCCTCGCAAAGTGAAACTGGAAGATGCTTGAAGACTCCTCATTCTTTTTCAGGATTTGTTCCGTTCTGCTTCCCTTTGCCATTTTGAGAAAAGGTGTGTTTGAGGGGATTCTCTGTATTGCGTAAAGGGAAACCGAAATGAAAACAACAAGTGTTGGGGTCACCCTCTGTTTGCCACATACCTAAACTAGTGGGAACATGTGGACACTTTTCTGACACCTAGAAACTATGATTGGGGCAAAGTTATCCTTGTGCTACCCTCCCCTCCCAAAAAATATGGGACCGCACCAGAACCCTCCTTTTTGTCTTCCAAAAGAGGTCTGTGCACTTCAATGTTTGTTTGGAGGGTAGTTTGGCCGACACCTCTTGCTGAAACATTTTGCATATGCTCACATGCATAGGCGCAGGGGTCGTTGGGGTGGTGATGACAAACAAACGAATAAACCCCATATGACCTGATAGCGAGGGGGGGGGGAGGCGGGGAAATGCAGCCTACCTTGGCCCAGTACAACACCAGCTAATTGAACGGCCGAGCTTCGCCAAGTGCCCATGTTCGATTCTCTCGCCTGTGGAACGTGTGCGTTTGTCTCCAACTAGAAGACCCCTCAGAATGAATCCCTTGGCCTCTCTTTCAGACCCCGAAACTGAATCCCCGGAACCAAAAGAGAAACCGATGCCATGTTTAGGGTCCAAATCCCTACTCTGACATGTCGCCTCCGCTCCTCCCGCTCTGGCTTCAGCTCCCAGCTGCTGTGGCGCGCTCCAAGCCGCCCACTCAGCGCTAAGAACTTCGCAGTGGGCGCGCAGGCGCGAAGCAAAGCCCGCGGCGCCCGCGACAGAACGGACAGCATGGCCGTCAAATTCACGTTACGTGAATGTCGGGGTTGCTTGCTTGCTTGCTTGCTTGCTTGCTTGCTTGCTTGCTTGCTTGCTTGCTTGCTTGCTTGCTTGCTTGCTTGCTTGCTTGCTTGCTTGCTTGCTTGCTTGCTTGCTTGCTTGCTTGCTTGCTTGCTTGCTTGCTTGCTTGCTTGCCGGCTAGGCTAGTTCTAAGGAGGCAGTTCTCTTTATGGATATTGAAGATGTGCACTCGTTTAGGTTCCATTTGTCTGAAATTTGAGAGGAGTCGAATGAGCCAAAACCTGCTCGATGAGAGCAGCACTCAACCCAACATCTAGTCCAAGCAAATGCACCAGTATGCGTAACACCCAGAGCGGCTTTCACTTTCCGGCTATTTGTCATCACAGCCAGCGCACCACACCGCTCCTCTCCGAAGCACTCGGGCAGCTCTGCGCGCGAATTCCCGGGCGCCTGGGCAATGAATAGCCTTTATCCAGCGCCGAAGTGCATCTGAGTCGTGCACTCCCAACGAATTATTGCAACACAACACACCGACATGTCAGGCTGGTCAAGTGTTCGACACTTCCTGCTGCTGCATTAGGCATCCTCTCCTGTTTGATCACTACTTCTCACTACCTGGTTTACGCCCGCAATGCCCTGGTTCCCAAATCACCTTGCTGCTTCCTGTTGTCGGATCCCTGCACGCAAACCCAATGGACCCGCAACGATGACGCCTCCATCTCCTCAATTCCGTGCAAGTCCAGGGCCAACACCAAGGTGGTCGTGTTACAGAATATTCTCGAGTTTACTCTCGGCTTTTACATATGTTTGGCTCGGACTCTAGTTCGACTTCGTTGAGATCAGAATGCTACGTTTGGATTCGGGTTCTTCAACGTCGCAAACTGCCAACAAACCCACTGGACCCGACTAGGTCTTAGTCGGCCTATTTGGAGTTTGTTCGGGCTCTTGTCGGCATTAGGCTTGTCTCTGAGACAATGATTCGCGAAGCGACAATCAGGGAACCTCGCCGGGTCCCATGAAAAGCTCCCGCCTTCTTTCGTGCCCGGCGGGCGACGTGTCCAGCGGCTTTGCCGACTGACAGAGTCGGGGCGACAAGTGGACATGAAAAGGAAGATCAAAACCAAGTCCCTTCGGCAGCGCAAACATGTTGCAAATGTCAAACAAAGTGTACACAAAATTAAAATAGACAAAAACATCTATGGGAGCGCACAACTCCATAAACGGCAAAGGAGATCCTCCAACTCGTTCATGTGGTCCCTTATTTCCACAGTTGGTGTCTAGAGAGTATTTTCATACAACTGGGCTGCCCTCAGATCTCCCGCTAAAAGTTTAACTTTTAGTGGGTTATATGGAAACTACCACTAAACACTAAAAGGCTAAAAAGCTAAGGAACCGAATGGCTGGGATCCACCGAGACAAGTATACATGCAGTGCTGGCGAATCATGATCAGGCCACCATCTGAAGCAGAGGCCAGGGCTAGAGGGTGGATCTTGCCCTGTTTCACGCAGGAAAGGGGACCTCAAGCTTCTGGTATCCAACATGTTTTGGGATCTGGCTGCATTTGAAAGGGACCAACAAAGTCCAAAAGTCGGGATTTCAGAAAGACTTGTCGCGCCTGCGTCTGGCTGTGACGCAACAGGCGGCTGCTTCGGCGCGTTCCCTCGCAAGCGGGAGAAAACCAAATCGGGCGGGTTTCCACGAGTGCGGTGCTGGGTGTAAACGCTTGGGTTTTTGTTCGCACCACTAGTTGAAATCAGAATCCTGGTGTGTTAGAAGACATGCCTTCCTCCACTTGCGTCAAGCTCCGTATGTAAGGAAGGCAAGGAAGGGTGGCAGCCATACTTTGCTTTGTGCAGACTCGCCTGAATCTCAAACCTCTTCTTCCTGCTCTTGTCTTCCCAACATAAGAATCTAGGACCCAATAGGACTGAATCAAGGCCCTACTTGGAGGAATCCGGCGGTTGGATCCCAAATCTGCTGTCGTGCCTGCGCCTTGCCCTGGACAGACCTGTCGAAACAAAATGCAAGAATCCGAGGACGGACGCGCGTTTCAAGCCAGCAACACAACCTTTTAGGTATCTCTGGTGTCGAAAGGATCCAGTTTGTTGCGCTTCCTTCTGGCTGAGATCCGCTGGAATCGATTGGAATCTGCGCCCTTTTGCACCCCTTGCAAAGCTACTTCTGCAACTCGCCGTACGCGTGGTGACAACCCAAGCGTGCCTGTGTATTGGGCGCCATCTTGACAACAGTCAGACACAGGCTTCGTGTCAGGCTGGCAATGTTTGGGATGCAATATCGAATGCCCTTTAAGTTGGACTCATTTTACTAACCTTGATGCTGGACCAACTTGAGGTAAAAGGGATATCAACTTGCTGAACGTGAACCTTCTGACGGCTCAATAGCACCTGACACCCTGTCTTGTTGCTGTCGGCTGCAGGACCCCACCGATGTTTTGACGTTGCAAATCGACAAGCCAGGTGTGCGCAAAAAATTTGTCAACTCGGCTCACACATGTCACTTTGTACGGGCGAAACCAAACTTGAGTCCCGCCTACTTTCGGGCAAACGTGTTTTTTTTTTAAATCACGCGAGGTCATAGCCCGAAGCTTGGCATTTGGCGGTACCGGCTGCCGCTTCAAATGAGATTTTTGAGTCTTACAAAGTTGAACCATGCAAGGCAAATGTACTGTCCATGTGTTGTTATGTCCAATGCAGTGCCTTTCTGCATCAGACAAGCGACAAAAGGCCAAACAATTCGTGAATTCGTCAGCCACCAAGCCTTTTGTTACCTTGCATGAAACAAAGACTGGCGCGAGGAGACTGCACAACACAGAAAAACCAACCAGCTAGGAAATATGTGAAAATCATGAAGACCGCCGCTTCCTCATGAAGTGCCACGTCTCCTGATCAAAGCGGTGATCGCTGCTCACCAAATGCTCAGTTCACAGCTGCGCCGACTCTAGCGCGCAAATCGCGCAACCCAACGTTGACAAAAAGGCCTCAAACTTCGACCTTCGGTGCTGAACACGCAGCTCCCGAATCACCATGTTTTGCACAAAAAATGTCTTGCTCGCTGAATTCTCTGACTTGCGACCACATGTTTCGCGCGCTCAAAGGCCTCGTTGGTCTTGGGTTGGCTTTGGACCGTGCAAAGTGAATCTCGCACCCAAAGCGCCGGACCGACACTTGATCGTACCCTGGCCGGGCAAACTTCCAAACATTCTCACACATGTCCAGAACTCGAAGTAGCCCTTGTTTGGCGGACACCCCTTTCAGGTTGGTTCCAATCCATGAATTTGCGCGAATTTGCAGAGTACCCCCAGTGGAGGCTTGCACTCCTAGATGAATCAAGCCCCTTCTTTCGCCAAGTTGCAATCTAGATAGAATTCTGTTCACTGCTTCAAGCCCAGAGGGGACCAGTGATAAAAACGGGGGGAGGAACTCACAACACGATCGGCCGAATCGCCCTGCTCCTTTTTATTTGGCGTTGCTCTGAAGTCCAGGCTAACAACGCGTATTCAACCTGTTCACTGGGTGTGTTACCCAGGGGTGTGAAACACAACTGGAGGTATTGTGGCATTCAAGCAGCAATGCGTGCAGCTTGTGTGCGAAAAAAGAAGATTGCGTCCTCAAAGGATAAGACCCTTGCTGGTCCTGTGATGTTGCGCCTCACACGAAGCAATGCGTGCAGCTGAGGAATGCGTCCTCACGCATCGGACTGAGTCCGTAGAAACATGCCGGAGGAAGGCGTGCGGCTCAATCAGTAGTAAGGAAAGACTGCCTATACTACCCTATTCTTTTTCGGATTTTGGTCCCCAAACCCTGCAAAACAGCCAAATTCTCCAACCTGCTGAACGTTTTTCCGATGTCACCGGTCTTTGTCACCACTCCGTTTTTGGTGCAAAAAGCGCTGAAAACGGCGAACTCCGAAAAGTGCGTTTTTTCGTGTCCGGCGTCGAAAGTGGTGCCTGGGCCTCCAAATTCGCTCGTTTTCCTCCGAAAACCGGTTCCATGCGTTCGCCGTGCTCCGAAATCCGTTTTCTGGCCCGAAAAGCCTGCGAATTCCAGCCCGCTGAGCTCGTCACCGCTTGTCACCGCTTTGTCACCGCTCGCTTTTTGGGTGCAAAAGTGCGCAAAACCGGGCCCAGTTCTCTCCGCAGGGTTTTTTGGCGGCCCGGCAGCCCCCGAGGACCTGGCTCGGAGCCCGACAGCCTGCCGAGGTTTTCCATGTAACACGTCAGCCTACTGAACTAGTCACCGCCGATGTCACCGGTGTCTAACACGTCAGCCCGCCGAGGTACCGGGGTGGAATCGAACCTCCGAAACGTCGCTCCGGAGACCAACGCCTAAGCCATCTCACCATGGGCTCTCGCTACCTGTCCAAAACGGCGCTTTTTGGCCCAAAAAACGGTCTCACCGCGATGTCACCGCTTCGTCACCGCTCTCTTTGGGGCCGAAAAGTGCGCAAAAGGCTTGGAAAAGCGAGCTGGTAGCGCGGGAATTCGAATTGAGGGATATTTTCCCTCAATGCATCAACGCATTCCAGCCATCCAAGCCGTTCCTAAAAAGGTCTCGGGCTCGATTCCTCCCGGGTCCGCCCCTGATCACCCTAAGAGCAATGGTGATTCATCAATGGTTCATGAATGGGCAAGGTTCATGAATGGGCAAGGTTGGCTCAGGTCTCGTCATGTGGCCGAGGTGTCCCAAGCGTTTTTTGACCGACATTTTCGGCCAATTCATCGCCTCATGCCCAGAGTCCGATCTTATAGGACACTGCGCCACTTCGCGTGGTGTTAGGGGCTGTTGCGAGTCGATATACAATCAGAACACCCGGCGAATAGCGACTCAAGGTGTTGCGAAAGTGCGATGCCCCAGCGATACCATTTCGTAACGTCTACTCCTAAGAAAACATGTTTGAAGGACCTGTCACGGGCAACATCCCTGAGGTCCTGGACAACGGAGAGGTGACTGACGGCACGCACGTCACAGCAGG